GGAACAGGAAAATCTTAGTGCTTTTACGCATCATTGTGGGGCTCATGGTTTGATTTTTGCTAGTACTTATGAGATTTATCCCACACAGTAAGCTAAAAACATTTAAAGTGTATTATGTATATAGTCTACTAGTAAATTTTACAGATCGTGTATGCATGTGCAGTCCATGAGTTAGAATCTATGTAGATAGCCCTAAGTGTGGAGTGGAAGAGTGTCATATTGGTGTAAATTTTGATTGTGGTATGGCCCCTTTTGAATTGAATTAAACTGACTACTCTACAGTACTCATAATTTGTAATTTCCCTTGTTGCCAAAGGTCAGGCGGTCAGGCCACATGTTTCCAGCTGCATGCCCTTACTAATTTTGTAAAGCCTCACTAAATAGAAAGCTGCTCCTAGTAATGAGCTGTGTATAAAAATAATATGATGCCAGCTTTAGGGGATAGCATTTCAATAATGTCATGGTTTTATACTTCATATGGCACTGATTAGTTGCATTTTTAACTGAGATGATACCCATACTCCTGCAGCAATTGGACATTTAACTCATGTGGGGGGGACTAGTCCCAGGTTTTCAACTATTGGACATGAAGGAGGAGGGTATCAGCACTTGACACTCAGCAATGTACTATAATATTAATTCGAGAGATGGGTGCAGGGATAATCCTCCCCAATCACAAAACATTTAACTAAAATATAAATTCATTTTAATCCTATGTACTAGCTCCTTAGCTTGCTTTTAATAATGTTTGATCACGTCAAGCATAGCCTTGCGTATGATTTACATGTATCATCATTTCTGGAATGTTATTACGTGAAAATTTTACGGTACATAACATGCATGCGTATATTATTTTTCAATAGGATTTTGGCTTAGTGCTCAGTTTCTTGTCAATGGATTTTTAAGTTACTCCAAAACTTGACAAAGTCATGTCTTGTATGCTACATTTAGCGCAGGATTATGGATAGGAGAGGATACATTACATTTTCTGATGCATATAAATGCTCTTATGCAGCGTCAAAAGTTTGAACTGATACCAAAATTTTTATTGATACTGAAATTTGCTCCAAACAAATAAAGTTTGCTGTTTATTATAGGTGTGCTGTTTTGGAAAGCCCTGCTTTAAATCAATTATGTCAAGCATCTAAGATTTATTTGTATAAATTTATTTCATAATAACTTTTGCCATAAATGATAAGAGATCTATTCCGTCCTTATCTAACTATGTACAGTAATATCATGTAATATTATAATGTTCACGTTTTTGATTACATCTTTAATTTCTATATAGCACAAATTGGAGACCTTGATTACTTACCTGATACTACAGTTGTTGTTATTGGTGGTATGAGTTTTCATGGAGCAATGATAGCTGAGTATTTGCGCAAAGAAGATTACAAAGTTATTTTACTTGAAGATTCTCTCAACATTGCACCTGTTCCACTCAAATGGGATCGTTGGTCACAGTTAACAGTTGATAAAACTTTTGTTGATTTCTCTGATGAAGCTAAACTAAAAATGAGTTTACGTGGTGCAGCTACTGTGTTGTATGTACCTACAGGATTAATAGACATGGAAACGATGACAAATGACCCCATTAAACAATATCAGTTAGGATCATTGACTTTGGCACACTTTCAAAAACTTTTACTTCTTATTTCAAAAGTGCCTTCCATCGATCAGGTCATATTGCTGTCCACAGTTGATAAAGTTTCGAGCTCAAGTTTAATTCACAAGACTTGGCTTTCAACCCTAGAACAGCTATATACTCACTCATATCACAGTAATGTTTTGAAGACAGGTGCAGCTTTGATTAAAGTAAATGGAGTCTTTGGTCCATGGAAAGAAACTGATAAATTTTCTAATGCTTGTTGGTATATTAAAAGTGTGGTTCACCTTGTTAGAAAAATAACTCATGCCATTTCACCTGGATTTGTGACGCATGATTTCACTACTGAGTGTCAAAAAGACAAAGAAGGAGAACCTGTTACAACATCATGGAATAAAAGTTATACAAGAAGCCTCAAAAAGAAAAAATATGTAATTTCGGGAGCTGTGTTAATTTTTAATGAAACTAAAGCTTATTGGCCGTCTCATGTTCATTTCAATGATCATAAATACTTTAGAACTTTTCTTATATCAGCAATGAGGAGTGCTCCTGAAGCAGACATTCTTATTATTCATAATACATTGAGTGATGATGTTGTCGAGAAGCTTCTAGTTGCATGTCCATCATGCCAATTTAAACATGAAGACCCTGTAAATATGCGCATTTCCCACGATCAAAGACTGTACCTTCTTTATGATTATTTGCTGGATAACCCCGACATAAATTATTTGGTGATCTCAGACATTCGTGATGTTTCTTTTTTCGCTGATCCATTTCAGTAATGAAAGAAATCGGTGACTACATCTACACTGGTTATGATGTGCCTTTTTATAGTGATAAAATGAAGACTTTGCCGTGGCTGCGAAGAATGCTTACCACGTGTTTTCCTAATCTAAAATATGCAGAAAAGAATGAAATTTTAAATTTGTATGGAATATTGAACAGTGGCACACTAGGTGGATCAAGACATATTCTCCTTTCACTATTGAGTCGTATGATTCTTTATCTTGATATAGCAAGTCTTGATGGAGTCTGTGATATGGTAACAGCCAATGTTGTGCTTCATTTGCAACAATATGATCACGTTTATCCTGGTTATCCATTCAGTGGATCATTTTTGACTGGGATTGCTGGTCAGCAGGGAGTTGCAATCTGGCACAAACGTGGGCGGAATGCTATAATTTACTTTTAGAACCTTTTTGAGTAACTTATCATGCACACATTATACCTCACATGCACAAACCTCTCTCTTCTATAAACTTATAGTATATTATATTACATATTATACTTATAGTATATTATATTATATTATATTTTTCTATAAACTTATAACTTATATTTACTATTTGTGTAGCCACTCTACTATATGTATTTAATAATGATTAATGATTTTAATTTTGTTTGTCCCTCTAATTTTTGACTCCCTGTTTGTGGTAGCGATTTCTGATATAAGTCACTCGGCATTCTTTACGCAAAGTGGCAGCAAAAGCAACAGCTCAATATTTTTTAAATATTTAAAAGCTAAGGCTAATGTATTATACAGAGTGTTCATAGCCACTCCAATTAAGAGCCATTGTGCCCATTACGGAGATAGCTTGATTTGGGAGGGCTGATTTGAGTACAGCCACTTAGAATAATTTTTATTTTTTGTATAAAAGACCAGCTACATAGCAAGTACTTATAAATTGCACATATAGGTGAAGACAATTTCAAGAATTTTTCATAAAATTAAGTAAAGGTTATACAACGAGGTGGAGGTATCTATGGCATTTATCATACCGAGGGCCGTAGGCCTGAGGTATGATAAGGCCATAGATACCGACACAGAGTTGTATAACCAACTTCTACCATGTACTAAAATAAACAAATAGTTTACTTAGCAACAGTTAGCAACAGCAATGCATTCCCATGGTAGCTTTTGCGCGTAGCAACAGCGCACTATAACAGTTTGAAAAATAATATTATCTTCCCAACAATGGCTGTCTCTGTCTCTGACATCTCAAGTGAAATAGACAGGCAAATAGAGGAGTTTCTTTCACAAATTACGGAGGAGCAATACCAAGACTTCTTAAATAACTCCACCCAGTGC